GTAGATCTTTAAGCCAGATAACATTGTCTTCTCCTTAGCTCACCTCAGTTCCCAATTCAGAAAAGCAGAGTCAGCAGCAGCTTCCCTTGCTCCTTTAAAAACTCAGTGCTGGGCAAGGTGTGGTGTGCCTGAATCCCTGCTACTGGGCAGGCTGAGGAAGGAAGATCATATGAGCCCTAGGATTTAAGGCCAACCTAGGCAACACAGCAAGACTCTCTCAAGAAACTAATCAACCAAACAGACCCAACTCAGATAGTGCTGCCTTTCCTTCTCTCCAGAAATTCATTAATATATCCCAACTGTGGTAATTTTTGTGCTCTGAAATAATAAAAAATGGCTACTTCTGGAAAATATAGGAAATTTCTGTTTTGATCATCAGAACCCTTCTGTTTCACACTGTTTAGAAAGACCTTGCCACTAAAAGAAGATGCTGTAATAGCAAAGGTGGTATTTTCCTAGATAATCAGAACTAGGTTTTTGTATCTAAAAGTTGAAAGAGTTTTTACTTTTGGAAAATAATTAGTATGTGGCAATTTCTGGTACCTTTTTTCAGTGAATATCAAAGTGTTTCAAAAAGCTTTTTTCACCTTGCATAACAAAGGATTCATTTTGCCTTCTTTGCTTGACTTCACCTGCTTGGCATTAATTTTGGTTTCCATAGCAGCAAGACTAAGCAATTGGTAATAGAATAGCCCAACTTGTTACAGGGTTCAGAACCCCACCATAGGAAATATTGTAAATAGCCCTGGAATTGAACATCTGTACTTGTTTTCTTATATAGCATAATTTGCTAATTTAAAAATAACACAGGCTGGATGTGGTAGCACACACTTGTAATCCCAGCACTCAAAAGGCTGAGGCAGGAAGATCACTGCGAGTTCAAGGCCAGCCCAAGTTGCATAGTGAGACTCTGTCTCAAAAAAAAGGGACGCATTTAGGCAGGGAGTGTATTTCAGTGATAGAGCACATGCTTCAGGAGTGAGGTCCAGTCCCCATTATTCAAAAAGAAAAAAAAAGGATACACTGATTATTACTATTTTTTGAACTAATTTAAAACTTTTTCGTGGACCAGGGATATAAAAGTCAGTGGTGAGAGTGCTTGTTAGTATGTCTAAAGCTCTAGGTTGGATCGCTCACCCCCAAAATTAAGAGAATTAGGTGCATCTGTATCTCCGTGGTTGTGCATTAGTGACGCATGTCATTGATGTACAGTCAGTTGGAGTGTATGCTATGGGGTTCTGACATATATGCATTCGAAACCATCACTGCAAACAGTACAGTTAGCATACCATCACATGCAGCATTTTTCTCTTGCCCTTTTGTAATCCCACCGTTCATTATCTTGGTTCTAGTTTTTGTTGCTTTCTATAGAGAGCCCCTCCCAGTCCTCCTCATGGCCCAGGAAGTTTATATTGGTAATCCCATGAAAAGTTATTGGCATTCTAGCAAATTAATTCCAATCTACCACTACCAGTGCAACTCATGGCGAGAATAAAGACACGAAAGCATATTTGTAGTTATGGGGAGCCAAGGGGTCCTAAGTCCAGCCGTGATGATAGCTATCGGGAACAAAGGCCTCCACCCAGGGAAAAACCCAGGTTTTATTCATTCAGGAAGAAAGGAGTGGCTTGAGGATGAGTGACTGTGAGAATGGCAGGAAACAGGTGAGTGCTGTGAGGAGTAGGTGGGCTAGGTAGGAGACCCGAAATCACCTCTGCAATGTGCAGAGGGAAGGATATGCAGAAAGAGTAATCTGCATAACACAACTGAGATAGCATCGAATGTTGTGGGGTCAGTGCTTCAGCTCTGATGTGTGATCTTTGAAGCCCCAGTGTTCATCCTAGCCTACAGCGTGGCGCATTGGCTCACACCTCCCGCCTCATCCCAGCTCGCTTGAGGGAGCAACATGGGGTCAGGGAAACACGCGTGCCATCTCCAAGGATTGCCATCAGCACCTTGGCTAGGCCGATATGCATTGCTTAAAGCCAGTTGAAGGGGTAAGGAAAAGTCCTAGCCAGCTCTGTACATACCAGTACATGGAAATAGAATCAGGTTCAGCCAAAATGGAGGCAATTGCTCCTCTTTGAAGGAGAGTCACCTAGGTGGTCCTCCACAGCTATCAGTTTTTATTTCTAGAGTTTCAGGAAGAAATCATGCAGCATGTACTTTTTTAGCGGGTGGACAATCTGACTTTCATTTATCATAATTTTGAGACTGATGCAGGTTATTGTGTGTGAGTGGTTCGCTGCCTAGGTTAGGAATATAGCTCAGTGGTGGAGCATGTGTGTGTACCGCTTTCCATCTAGCAATGTATGAGAGAACTCGAGATCCTCATATCTTTGTCAATATTTAATACAGTTATAGTCATATTTTTAGTCATTGTAATAGGTAAGTAGAGGATCTGTGTGGTTTTAACTTGCGCTTAACTAGTGAGTGATAATGTACATTATCTTTCATGCCTGTATTTTTCATTTGTATGTCTTCAGTGAAATTCTGTTCAAATTTTTTGGCCACTTCATGTTTGTTTTTTGTTTTTTGGGTTTTTTTTGGTACCCGGGATCAAACTCAGGACCTTGCACTTGGCAGGCAGGCACTTGTGCCACTGAGCTATATGCCTGGCCCCTTGGCCATTACAGAAATTGAATTGCTGTTCTATATTTGAATCTTGAGAGACTTTAACCTATATTCACCCTATGAGCCATTTTTACTAGTTGTATGCTATGACCATTAATCCTGATATGTCAGTTTCACTGGGTTAATAAATGGCTAGCAGATTATAAAGCACAGTCCTAGGTGTGTCTGGGTGTGTTGTGGAGGTGTGACCTGGGTACTGTATGTGGCCCCTCACCCTTTCCTCTCCAGCACTGTTCCGCTGCACTGCTTCTCACCTGGCATGAACTGGGCAGCTTTGTTCCACCATGCCTGTCTGTCGTAACATTCCTATCCTGGAGCTTGTCAACCCGGGATTGAATCGGGTGAACTGTGAAGCAAATAAACCTGGCTTCCCTTAGGTTGTGGGTACTGGGAATGAAGGAATAAATTTTTAACTTTAAGGGAGTTCAGCTGATTAATTTTCTTCTTTTATATATTGTACTTTTAGTGTCACATCTAAAAATTCTTTGCCTATCCAAGATCACAATGATTTTTCCTGTTTTCTTCTAAAATATTTATAGTTTTATGTTTTATTCTGTGCTTGTTTGCATATGATGTGAAGTAAGGATCCAAGTTTATCTAAATAAAAGTAAATAATTGTCCCAACATGTTTTATTGAAAAGACTATTGCTTCTCCCTTCAGTTCCCCTCCAAATTAAAGTGATCATATTAATAGTGATACACACATACCCATGTTTATAGGAGCACAATTCATAATAGCTAACTTATGGAAGCAGCCTATATGCCCACCAACAGATAAATTAATACAGAAAATGTGGTGTATGTATATACAGTGGAGTACTACTGAGCCATAAAAAGGGAATTTGACTCATTTGTAAGAAAACAGGTAGATCTTGAGACCATCGTGCTAAGTGAAATAAATCAGACACAGAAGGTCATATAAAAACCTTGTTTCTCTTATGTGAGAAACCCAAAATATTAATAATTTAAAGAGCAAAATAAAGGTGAGCAGATAGGAAAAATGGAGGTAAACATTTTGGAGATAGGAAGGAAGTGGGGACAGGGAAGATGGGGAAAGAGGAAGTAAAAATGTTCAAGATGCAATATGTATATAAATCCATTCCCCAAAATGAATGTAATTATTACATATCACAAGCATATACCTAATAAAAATGGAAAAATAGTGTCTGTCTCAACAGGTTACTTTGTTCTTTTGTTTGTTTGAGTTTGGTTTAGTGTGGTTTTTTGAGACAAGGTCTTGTTATGTAGTCCAGACTGGCCATGAACTCACTATGTAGCCAGGCTAGCCTCATAATTATGGTGATTCTCCTGCCTCAGCCTCCTAAGTGCTGGGATTACAAATGTGTACCACCATGGCCAGGCTCCACAAGTTACTTTGATATTTAATGTACACTAACCACAGTTCTAGATTCATATCATAGGTTTTGAAAGCACTATTCAGTGCCTAATGGATTCGTATCTGTCGCTTCCCACTGACCAACATCATCGGCCAAATGATGGTAGAAAACTTTGGTTTTCTCATTTATGTTGAAAGTGGTTGGTCTGTTTATACACCAAATATATGTATTTGCCTATAAAGTGTTCTAAATTCTTTTACCCCCAGACTCCTTATCAGCTCAACCTGATCTGGAAAACTAGAATGCATTATAGATGTGCTGGTATCATTAATGCTTAAGCCAGTTCCATAGATCTAAGCAAGAAGAGAAGTTCATATGATTGCATTTTTTTCATAATTCATAATATATCCAAGATTTTCATCAGGTAAACTTAGGAAACCTGACCTTGTTTTCCTGAAAGAACAAGGCATGGTGAGAGGTGATGCCCTTTAAGCTAGGTTGATCATCTACAAAGAAGACTTACAGCACATAAAGAAAGGGAGATGACAGACATCCTCCAATCTCTATGGTAGTCAACCAAGACTTCCTTTACTTGTTCCCAACGTGTGGTCTTGTGCCTTCTCTGTACTCTTTTTTTCTGTCCTGATAGTTGAACCTAAGGCCTTTGAACTGAGCCATTATCTCCAACCCTTTCTTTATTTTGAAACAAATTCTCACTAAGTTCTCCAAGCGGGACATGAATTTAAGATGCTCCTACCTCAGCCTCCCAGGGTGCTGGAATTACAAACATACACCACCACGCCTGCCTCTCAGACTAAGTGTATTTGGCAGTAGAGTAAGGCACTGGAAATGCAAAGATTTGTAAAACGTATTTCCTCTCTTTGAGGAGCCTCCAATGAGAAGTCTTTGGATTGGAAATACAGCTACATAACTGCATTAATGAGTGATATGATGGAGATGTACTTGGGGTGCTATAGGACCACAGAGGAAAAAGGTCCTAATTGCCTGTGGGGAACAAGGAAAGCTTTTTGGAGGAGGTACACATGAACTGCTTATTATTAAAAATAACTGAAGAGGAGGAAATTTTTAGAATATATAAAGGGCCTCAGTTTGAAAAGCATACCATGGTTAGGGATTAAAAATCCTTCAAAATAGCTATTGTATATGTAATATGTGAGGGAATAGCATGATTTGAGGCTAAAGAAAAAACATGTATCCCTTAAGTTTGGATTTTTGTTCTATAGGTCATAGTGAATCACTGAACATTAATAAGGGGAAGACTGGTATTTATGGCTTTGATGGAGAATTCCATACTATTGCAACATCATTTATTATTGGAAAATTTGGAGGACCAATCATATGTCCAATGTAAATTACTGATTGTAGTGGTCAAATGAAGTATGATATAGCCACATGACAGAAAGTTATGTAACTGTTATATGTTTTTGAAAAAATGTATAAGAAATATTCTTATGACCCAATATTAAATGAAAACACTAGGTTGTAAGTCCTAAATATGTGGAGAGATATACCATATGCATAGATTAAAAACTCATCTATGTAAAGATTTTTTCCCACATTGTTTTATAAAGACAATACTAATTTTTTTTTTTTGTTTTGTTTTTTGTTTTGTTTTGTTTTGGGTTTTTCTCCGGTACCGGGAACCGAACTCACGGCCTTCCACTTGCCAGGCAGGTGCTTTTGCCGCTGAGCTAAGTCCCCAGCCCTGACAATACTAATTTTAATAAATTTTTTGATAAATTTTTTTAAAAAAACAACTAACATGATTCTAAAATTTCTAGAGAAGAAAAAAAAAAAAAACAAGAATGGCTACAGCACTACACAAAAAGAGTAAGGTAGGGGAATTTTCTATGTAAATAGACTTCAGGTAAAGCTACCATAATTAAAAAGTGTGGCATTGGCTCAGAAATAATTGAACAATAGAATAGAGAATCTCATGAGATCTATGCATATGTGGAAACAGTATGTGGCCAAGGTGATGTCACAAATGACCAGGGGAAGGAGGGATTATTACTTAATACATAGTGTTGTGGCAAGTAGATAATCATTTTTAAAAAATAAAATTGGACACATTTTGATTCTATTTTAAAAGTCTAGATGTATTAAAGACTTAAATGTGAAAGGGCAAGCTAAAAATTTAGATGCCTATTAAAGATATTATCTATGACTGCAGTAGAGGATGTTTAAATTGTTATGTTTGCAGTACGTGATTCATTCGTTTGGGGGAATTGGTACACATCTATAATATATCTTGGTCACTCTTTATCTACTTTCCTCCCCTCCCTGCATTCCTCCTCTCTCTTTCTGTCCTCCAAAAAGTCTGCCTTTATTTTACTGTTTATGTATAATTGTATTTCTCATATAAACCATGCACTATTTAATTTTATGTGTCTGATTTATTTTCCTGCAAATGACTTGAATTTATTCTTCCTTATGACTGAATAAAATTCCATTATATATAATACTACATTTTCTGTATCCATTCACCTGTTGATGGGCATCTGTTTCCAGAACTTAGCTATTGTGAATTGTGCTGCTATAAACATGTATATACATGTATCATAATAGCATGATGTCTTTAGCTCTTTTGGGGATATACTCAGAAGAGGTATAGCTTGATCACACAGAATTTCAATTTACTTTTTTGAGAAGTCTTCATACTGATTTCTTTAGCCATTTTACTAGTTTACATTCACTAGCCCTAAATGAAAAGATTGATAAATCAGACCACATTGGGAATAATAATTTGCAAGTATCAAAATTACTCTAAAAGTTAAGGAAAAGACACTTAACTGATAAAGGGTTTATGTCTACATTATATAAAGGAATCCTATAAACAACAAAAAGAAAAGAAAATTTAATAAAAAAAATGAACAAAGGACACGTGCGTTTCACAGAAGTGAAACAGCCTAAAGGTGTTCAGTGTTAATATAATCAGACAATTTAGAACACAGTGAGATTCAATTTTATGCTACTAGATTTGCAACAATTCCTTTTTATTTTCTTTCTACCCATCTCAGGCATGTAGAGTGTAGACTTTAGCTCACTGACTTGTTGGAATTCTCTTAGTACATAATTTTCTTTTATCTCTGGTTTCCATTGTATAGTGCTTTGTTCTTGGTGACTGAAAGCTCTTCCTTCCCTAGAGGCAGTGGTTCTTTTCTAAGGGATCTGTACAAGGTGTGGTTCTCATCATAATCAGCCTCACCTGTATGTTTGTTAGAATTGGGAGTATTCAGCCCCCCCACCCCTGGACTATCTTTTCAAAGATATTTGTATGGCAAATAGCTTTGTAGAATACACTATTTCTTTCCAGAGTAGAAGGCAGGTTTATTTATAAAATATTGGCACTACACTCTGGTTCCTTTCCTACATTAGCACCCACTGTGTGTGCAGATGTCACCTGGCCTTTGTCCCATCATGCTGTGGAAATTGGGCTTGGGGAACTGGCATAAGAAAATGATGATACTACAGCTATTGCTGTGAGTAAAATTTGTCCTTTTGTTTTTGAGCCACGTCTTTTTTCTGTATCCGTGAAACCTGCCAGGCTAACTTTTTAGTGTGCAAGTAAGATAAAGCCTCAAACCTTTCACGGTCCTTGATGTAAGAAGTCTTTCTTTATGTTAGTGCTCTGAATAGGAACCCTGGCTTCTGGCTTTAAAAGAATGCATAGTTATTGAATAAGCTAAATGTATAACGAGATATGTTTTCTATTGTCAAATAGTGATATTTAAATATTCTTTAAAATGTTGGTATTATCATAAGTTTTATTTCTGTCTTCCACTTGCTTAGTCATTAAACAGACGTTTTCATATGTTCTCTTTTGCTTTTAATTTTCTCAGAGTGTGGCATCGTCAGCAGCTGGGCTGAGCCAAGATATACAGATGGCTGAAAGTGGTAAAACAGAAAAAGTAAAGTGGACGACCACTGTTATTATTAGTTCATCTCTTAAGGTAAAAGAGAATTGGGGCCAGTGACCTTTGAAAGTTCATAGCAAGTTTCATGTAGAATAGTATTTTTAAAGATCCTTGGCTTACTTACTCATAGTTAGTTGTGAGGAGCAGAAAGTACATTAGCTAAATTATAAACTTACATCCATGTGCGACATCCTGCTTTCCTACATCACCACTCTAATAACAATGGGTAGTGTTAGAGATTCTAGAAACAGTAAGGCATACACACATATGTATTACTTCATGTTTTTTGAGAGATAACCAGAAACTGATATGCCTAGGTTTAGCAACACTGGAAAGTGGCTGACTTTGTATACTGTAGTTTGGAAAGGAAGGAGATGAAAAGTTAAAAGTCAGCTCACTGTTTTTTTTTTTTTTCCTTTTTTTTTTTTTTGAGACAGGGTCTTTCTGTGCAGTTCAAGCTGGCCTTGAGCTGACTTTGTAGCCCAGACTGGTCTAGAACTCACAACAATCCTCTTGCCTCAGCCTCCCAAGTGCTGGGATTATAGGTGTGTGCCACCACGCCTGGCATCCATAACTGTTTTTAACTGTTTTGCTCCAGTATTTATCTTGTGGACAGCCCTAGATGTTCCACAGTCAGGGTGAAGGGGAAAGAAATACTGTTCCATGATAAGGAAAGAGACAACAAGAAGAAAGTAAGATTTTTTTTACCCTATGCTCTCATTGCTGCCTCCAGCTGCACTTCCCCTGTTGGCTTCAGCCATCTAGCTCCGTAATACCTCCTGTACTACCCCACTTTAGCCATAAGTCTCACTGGAATTTTGCGTGCTTCTGCCATCTGGTTAGGTTTCTGGAATCCATGTTTCTCTCCTGTTTATATAGCTTTACCAGACTTATTCTGAGAGAAGGAGAGAGCAATCCATGCTACTTTGTCAAAAACACTGTTTTTATTTCATTTATTATATTTATCTATTTTATGTTGTGCCTTTTATTTGTCCCACTGTCCCACTAATGTTTCTTTATTCTCCCCTTTCTCACCTCATTGGATTGCTTATTTTTTCTAATTTCTTTTTTAAAGCGAGCTCTTAAAATTATGTATTCTATTTCTATCTTTTAGTAAGTATCCTAGAAATTTTGTTATGCATCCTCAGCTCTGTAAAATCCAAAGTAAATTATTTTTAGCCTCCTCTTAAACAGAATATCTTAGAATAATTTAATTTCAATGACCCTTTTCTGTATCATGTCCCATTATCATAAATCTTGCTTTTGTAATTTCACACAGTATTGTTACAGTTTTTTTGAGTTAGCATTTGTTTAGTTTTACCCATATTTGGGGTGAGGTTATTTATTTATTTATATTTTTTGAGACAGGGTCTCACTCTATAGTGCAAGCTGCCTTGAACTCATGTAGCCTAGGCTGGCCTCAAACTCTGGCTATCCTCCTGCCTCAGCCTCCAGAGTGCTGGGATTACAGGAATGCACCTTACCCATGTTTTTGTTTTCTTTGTTCTTCTTATGGCTCAGACCTACCATTTTGAGTCATTTTCTTTGTCTTTATCTAATTTAGAAATTATCCCAAGGAGGATCTTGTAAAGACAAATCTCTGTTTTTGTTAGTATAAAAATTTTTGTTTGTTTCTTTGTTTTTGTTTTTCTTCTGGTACCAGGAATCAAACTCACGACCTTGCTCTTGCCAGGCAGGCACTGTGCCGCTGAGCTAAATCCCCAGCCCCAGTATAAAATTTTTAAATTTCTTATTCTTGAAAAAAATCTTAAAATTAGTTTAACTGAGGCATAATTTACAAGCAGTAAAATGCACACATTTTGAATGCACATTTCAGTGAGTTTTGATAGTTTATGCTTTGTAACTGTCCCTCCAATCAAAAGTGGGATAACTTTATCATCCCTAAGAGTTCCTTTATGGCCTTTTGTTGTCAGTCCCACCCCAGCCTTCTACCTCAGGTCCTGAGCAAGTAATTGGGGAAACAAAACAGTCCTCTAGGCCATTTCAGCCTGCTTTAAGAAGCAAGTGCAGAATGCAGGATGCAGTGGTCTGGGAGGGGGCGGCCAAGCAGGGGCCAGACTGGCCACACTCTAAACAGGGAGTCTAGATGTTTTTTTCTCGCAGACACTCTACTTGAACTATGGCTCAATTAGTCAACATAATAGATCTTCAAACACGAGGAACCACTAAGGAGGTTGCTGCATTCTTTGGACTATGTGTCATAATTGTAGTTAGCAAATTCTGACAGTTAAGAAGGTATAGAGACTGCTGTCTATCAGGTTTTGCAGTCTTTGATAGACAATATATGACTAATAAACCATAAATGATACTGCCTTATAAAAATACTGCTTTCTTCATTGATTATGTTTATAGGCATTCACTGCTTGAGCCAAGGTTACACTTGTTAAGTGACAAAAGCCGGGTTTCTTTTTATTTTTTTCCGGTACCAGGAATCGAACTCACGACCTTGTGCTTGCCAGGCAGGTGCTGTGCCACTCAGCTAAATCCCCAGCCCCACAAAAGCTGTTTTTAAAGCAGCATGTACTGATTTTATTCTAAAAGAATAAAATGTACAAGAGAAACAGCTTTTATTATTCTTTGCAACTTGTAAAATTGAATTATTTTGCTAATGTAAAATACCAATAACTTGTTGGAGGACGATGTCACCTTCTTCAAAAGCTGTACACTTACTTCTTATGTGTGTCAGAGCTAGCCTCAATTTGCCTGGAGCAGAAGCACGCGACTATTTCAGGCAGGCTTTCTGGTCAGCATCGGCTGGGCAGGGAGCCCGGAGCAAAACAGCACAACCAGGGCAAAGGGGCTTTGTATTCTAAGGCAAAGCACCTGTGTGGCCCCCGGCACAAGCAGTTTCCACTTTCATACTCATCGGCTTGCACATGATCCCCTAACCTTATTTTTCTTCTTCTTAAGGGGCTGATTTGGATAATGGGTTAAGAACAGTGTTCAGTATCTAATGAGTCATGAGAAGGATTTCTGTCGTTATTTGTAAACTTGTGATAAGAAGTTACAGGTGGAAAGAATGGTGAGGGAGTCACACTCAGCCGTGATCCACCTGTATGACGGACACACCAGCTTCACTGTACACCCTGAAGACTTTCTTGATGGCACTGACATAAGCAGCCGTTCTCAGGTCCAGGCTCAGGCTACACTTAATGGCTCTGTGCCTGAGTTGGCTGGCGGAATGCTCCACCATGTAGGCCAAGCCAGAGTGCATGATGCCTTTCTCTGTAGCCCCCAGTGTCCTGTCCTAGAACTCTTCTGTTAAAATGATGGGAATAGTTTCACTCACTCCCTGAATTTTCTTTCTAAGCTGTCTTGGACATACATGAACAAGTAGTAGAATCCCTTTCATATTTAAAGGTTAATTGGCCATAAATGATACGATTTAGAGTCTGCAGCCACTCCCAGTAAGATATTGTTACTCCTCTGGAATTCAAGTAGAGACCTGGAATAGCCATAATGTTCCTCTACAAGAGATAGCTGTCAGAAAATCCTGCCAGAATGGTCAGTCCCTTGGCACCTTTGGCAATATCTTGGCTTTAATGATGGGTGTGTTGGATTTGATCAACAGCTTCGCTCTGACGACAGGCATCTGGATGTCAGCTGGATGCTTCCTTTGTAGACCCTTGCCTTGGGGAAGCCCAGAATTGATACATGTTACAATTTGAAATCTAGTTCTTCTAGGTCAGTACCATCTGTGTTATAAATACTCCCAGCAGCTTCACCAGCACCTACACATTTAGCACCAAATGATGTAAACATCTCATGGAGTGCAGCCTCGTGTTACTAAAGCCCTGAACAACAAACGGTTTATCTCCAAAGGCTGGTGTCATCTTAAAATGCTCATGCTTCATTGATGAAGTTCTCAGCTCCATGGAAAACGCCATGGCTGGTAATGCTCCCTGGTAATACCAGCGTGTGCGTTAATATCATAGCGCCCTGTGTACTGGCATCGGTGTCTGCCATCCGGGATATCCCGTAGATGCCTGTGCTCATGTGCAGGGCAAGCACGTCAGTGCCAGGACCAATACAACCAGTTAGCTCCATGGTGAACCTTCTTGTGATCTTTTCCAATTTATTGTCCCTATAGTTCTCGGGATTGATTTTAATACCTGCTTTAACCCCACCTAATGGCACATCGACCACTACACACTTGTATGTCATTGGTGAAGCCAGCGCTTTCACTTGGTCTACACTCATATCAGTGCTGTACTAGATTCTTCCATTGTAGGGCTTGCGGTGCTGGCTGTGCTGGGCAGAGTAGCCCGAGGTAACCTCCCAAAGCTGTGCTGGATGGGAAAGAGGCTCAGCCCGTGGTTGCAGGGCTTGATGGTGCACAGGATGCCAGGCACGAAGTTGCATTCTACTCATTCTCATGGGTCTGCAGGTCCTCCACAATGCTGGTATCTGATTGAAGAAGCTTTCCTCTATCTTAAAGAAATCAGGGTTGTCCTGCGCTCAACCAGAACCTCACTATAGTGGTGCCAGGTGGGCAGCAGCAGGCAGTACATGCCCCAGACACCCGGCAGCACGGTGGGCCTGGTGCAGGGCAAAAGGACCTTGCCCAGGCTATAAGATGGTGGCTACAGCAAGGGTGAGCAGGGCCGAAGCAAGGGAAAAGCACTTAGTGTCCACTGCCCTTTTAAGCTGCAACTTCCTGTCCGCATGACTGTCCCCTCACCTTGTCCACCGTCAACAGGTGGGGGCAGGCTTTGGGTGCGGGCACAAGGCTACTGCTACCTCCACAGCCTCGCGTGGCCTCCTTGGTTGTTTTTTTTAACATTTTCTACACAAAGTATTTTTCATTTTGTACACAAACGTCCTGCCATCTGTAAACAAACCATTTTCTTTTCAATTTGTATTCCTTTTCATTTTGTCTTATTGCTTTTAGCTAGGACTTTCCATGCAAAGGAGGAGTAAGATGGGACATTTTCACCTTCTTTCTTATCTTAGTGGGAGAGCTTGAAGTTTTTTACTATGCATAGTTTAGCTCTAGGTTTTTTGTACACAGTCTT